AACAGACGCTTTTTGGACAACCAAGGCAGCAAGTCTCCCGAAGTTCCCCGGAAACGCATGATCATCGGCCACCGAAGCTACACCTTTGGTTGTGACGGCGACCTCATCGAACTGGACCCCGTGTCCGCTACAAGTCCGACCCCGAACATCTCGCCAAAACCAAAACCACTATTACACAAGGATTCTGTTTTGTCCACTGCCACTAGCCTCAGCTTTACCAGCGTTGATAGTGACAGCGATACCGATGATCGCGGCAACGACTTTGGAATTCAGCCCAGACACCAAGTTTTTATTGATCATCCAACAGCATCTACGCCCAGGTCTACTTATTTCTCTTCCCTTAATTCGTTGCAGGATCCTGTTTCCGAGAAAGTTGTGACACAGAAGGTTTATCCTTTGTATCCGGTTGTTAGCAAACGTATGTCGTCTACCAGCCTGAGCAGTTGGGAATCAGAAGCAGTCCTCTCGCCCATAAATTCCTCTTCCGACATTTATTTGGGCGTCAGACATCAGTGTACTCAAGAACTTGTAGCGAAACAACCAAGTGAAGAAGAGAAAGATGGTGGATTAAGTACGGTCACAAAACATTTTAGCAACGTCCATTCAAGTCCAGACATTCCTCTCTCAGTCTATTGGCCAATGAGGTATGAATCAATAGATGAAGATGTGGAGATAAAGTCTGACAAATCAGCGAGTCTACTGTCAGCTTCTGCAAGTGGAGAATCCCAAGATACGCCTCGTAAAGCGAACGTTGATAGGCAAGTCCGCCGTTATGACAAAATGGAAACTGTGGACATAGTTGATCATGTTGATCATAAATCTGGAAATGGTATGGGAAATGCAGAGGACTGCGACATGAATAATTTCTCAGGTCCGACTGGTGTTCAGAGAAGCGCTAAGACGCTGGAGGAGCAGCTGCAAATTCAGAAAGAGGTCATTAGCTTGTTGCAGGTTCGTAGAGGTAGCCTCAAACGGCAGAAGCGTATCTTAGACGATGAGGAGCCTTTGGAGGTTTCTGATAAGGACAGCTCAGAATTAATGAAAAATCTTGAAATTACATCGGACGTGCCGCACGAGGAAACGAGGGCATCAACGTTGGACTCTGGTGCTGTAAAAAGCATTCAAGATGTGAAAGAAAACACTGAAAAGGAATATGACTCAGATGAAACAGCAACATTGAGAAATTTGAGAAATCGAGAACTTGAGTCGCGTAAAGATCATTGTGTCGGGAATGCAGACGCAGAACACCCCATGCAGAAAAGTCAGAAGATGAAAGACGTACACGAACAGAACTCTGATTTGCCTCTCGATGTTGAGGAATTATGTAGTAATTTAAATGTTGTAAAAGAAAAAACCAAGTCAGAAGTCCAACTTAAATATGCAGAGAGTATAGATACAGATCTGCTTCAGGTATCCGGTGTGGATAACAGAGGCGATTCTTTTGAAATGGAGGAGGTAAGTGTTTACGCTATTTTCATTTTATTCATAAAAGCGACAAGACATGAATCTAAGAAATTTTTAATTTTGGTGTGATTTTCACCACTAAATATTCCCATAAAATCACAGTTAGCTGGAAATTAAAATTTCTTTAACATCATTTTAGATAGGGGGGGGGGCTGTTGAAACAGTTTGTTTCCAGAAATAGGGATTCAGATTTTTTTGTGTATTTTTTTTACTCTTTACTGTGCCATGCTTAAGGTACTGAAATGGAGAGTATAAAAGGCAAATAAATTAATTTTGCTGGTAACGCGAAAACTCAGTGGATTTTGAGTTGGGCAGCAGAGGCTTCATTTAATAAGTAGTATAAATTTAATTGTAGGTGGGTTTCTGCTTTATGATGTACTGCTCCGAAGAAAAGCCATATACACCACGCGTAGAATGATGGACATTTTTTTTTTGCTATATAGATCTGCACTTTTGGCGAAGAGGAGGGTCGTATGACAGTGCTATCACGGGCATGGTCAGACAGCAGCGGCTTCCTGGATGGCGATTCTGAAATATACTTGTCGAGACAAAATGGGCACAACACAGATGCCACTATTACCAACCTGGAATCTAGTCAACGTGATGGGTCAGGTCGAACAAGCAGTAAAGGAACGCAAATGCCTAGCGTCGCTAGTGAATTAATATCTCGAGGTGACCTCGAACTAACCGATGTGTCTTTCCACGCATCAAGTGATATCGTAAAGAGTGAGCTAGTTGTAAGGACAAATCTCAGTGATGAAAAGTCGGAAACTGTGAAGTGTCCGACTGATTTTAGCTTAACTAGTTCTAATGAAAAATGCTTACGGAGAAGAGAAATTGGGTCGAGCGCAATAAATCAGCAGAATTTGCCAAACAATTTATTTCAAGAACTCAGTAGTGCAAATGATTGGTTATGTAAGTGTAACGTGCCTTGTGTTATGGAACACGTTAGTGACCTCAGTGGTTCATGTGCAGTATTACATGAACGCCAAAGATCTTTAGCAAACGTAAGCTTTAGGGGGGTGCGTGAATCTGTAGAAGCAACTGCTTACAGTTTCTCTGATTCCAATAAAAGTGCAATAAACCCAGGAGTACAGAATTTTACATCTGTATCTCAAGACAGTTCCTTAATCAGAACATTATTATGTTGTCATATTCCTCGACACCGCCAACCGTCTATCTCTACTAATGATGACAGTGAGCTGGCACATCATCGGACCATGTCACTTCATAGCGTTGACCATAAGAATGGCTTGAGGTTTGGCGGAGTGCGTCGAGTTAAATCTGCTCCTCATTGCCTAGAACGTTTGGCTTCGAGTGACGACATGATGCGAAGTAGCAGTTGGAGCAGTGTCAGCAACATGTTCAGTTTCTGCAGTGATGAGAGCGTCATTCACGTCGGCCTCCAGAGGTCGGGTTTGGGCCGGGCCAATGAAAAGCGTCTGAGTGACGTGTGTGCCGGCGGTCTGTACAGACCGGAGGTAATGGAACAGCGTGAGAGCAGGTTAAGGGATGTGGACGCCAGTGACAACAAGCACCCGATTGATTCCATAGGTGCCGCTCAGTATCTCAAACCATGTTCAGTTCCTTGTGGTAGGAATACGAGGAAAAGCTCTTCAGATGGTGCTTCAGCTTCCAGACACTCGGTAACAGGTCTGCGTGAATTGGTTGGAGAGTTGGCAGTAAGTTTCTTTAGTATTAACACGTTAGTGACCTCAGTGGTTCATGTGCAGTATTACATGAACGCCAAAGATCTTTAGCAAACGTAAGCTTTAGGGGGGTGCGTGAATCTGTAGAAGCAACTGCTTACAGTTTCTCTGATTCCAATAAAAGTGCAATAAACCCAGGAGTACAGAATTTTACATCTGTATCTCAAGACAGTTCCTTAATCAGAACATTATTATGTTGTCATATTCCTCGACACCGCCAACCGTCTATCTCTACTAATGATGACAGTGAGCTGGCACATCATCGGACCATGTCACTTCATAGCGTTGACCATAAGAATGGCTTGAGGTTTGGCGGAGTGCGTCGAGTTAAATCTGCTCCTCATTGCCTAGAACGTTTGGCTTCGAGTGACGACATGATGCGAAGTAGCAGTTGGAGCAGTGTCAGCAACATGTTCAGTTTCTGCAGTGATGAGAGCGTCATTCACGTCGGCCTCCAGAGGTCGGGTTTGGGCCGGGCCAATGAAAAGCGTCTGAGTGACGTGTGTGCCGGCGGTCTGTACAGACCGGAGGTAATGGAACAGCGTGAGAGCAGGTTAAGGGATGTGGACGCCAGTGACAACAAGCACCCGATTGATTCCATAGGTGCCGCTCAGTATCTCAAACCATGTTCAGTTCCTTGTGGTAGGAATACGAGGAAAAGCTCTTCAGATGGTGCTTCAGCTTCCAGACACTCGGTAACAGGTCTGCGTGAATTGGTTGGAGAGTTGGCAGTAAGTTTCTTTAGTATTCTAGTCTTCTTCTATGGCTCTCCAGTCCGTATATGGTCCATGGCCTCCTCAATTCTCCTCTTCCATTCAGTCCTATCCTCCGCTACCTTCTTCCAATTTCTAATCCTCAGGAGCAATGTGGCATCCATTTGAACTGCATCCTCCCATCTGTTCCTGGGTCTTCCAACTGATCTTCCTCCAACACTTCCTTTGAATACCATCTTTGGAATTTGGATGTCGTCCGTCCGAATCAGGTGACCTGCCCATTGAAGTCTCTTGATTTTTATAAATTGTGACAATGATATGTCTTTATATAATTTATAGATTTCCTGATTAGTTTTTGTCTTCCGTTCACCTGCTTCTTGTGTTGGGCCAAAAATTTTCCTCAGGATTTTCCGTTTAGTATTCTAGTGATATACATTAATTGGCATTGCTTCAGGCAGTGTATTTCCCCTACGATGCATTTTTTATCACGTTGACTGCAAGTACAGGCAGGAAGTCAGTGGTCAGGATGAATGACCTTGAGATTCAGCATCTTGATTATATTGTTTTATTGAAGTGTAGTATAGTATAACTTGTAGTCGGAATCTTGCACAAGTACTTATTTGGTCATACACACATGCTATTTGCTTTTTTTCTGCGTGCAATAGAAAAATAATGGTTTTAAACCTGTGCAGAAACATGCAACTACTGATGACTTAATTTTTCCAGGAGAGGGGCTGGGACATTTCTATGGGGACGGACTCATCACACTTTGCATGCCACACCGATCAGCAGGTAAGAACACGTAGGATTTGAAGTTCTCACAGCAGTAAAGATGTTGATTTTGGTGTTACGGTTTTTGATGCCATGTGGTTTTTAAGGTTTACTTCGGGGCTGTAGATTGAAACATGCTTCGCTCTTTTACTTGGTGGTCCTTTAGCTGTTGCGCCTGCAAGGTGATGCATTGCGGGCAGGTCTTGCGGCCTACGGTCGTCAGCTGGTGGGAGGGCAAGCCAGTGAGCATAATGGTAACCATGAAGTAGCTGAAGCAAGCAAGGAACTTCAGGCTGTTTGGGAGGTGCGGGATAGGATTGCTGCTGAGTTA